TGCTGAAGTACTAGAAAAGGTAAATTCTCTTTCTTGTTTAAGAAGAGCCAGCTGAGAGTTGCCCTGGATTGATTCAGGTTTGAGTTTGGCAAAGCACTAACAGTTCACAAAAGAAAGGCTGATTTGTAACTAAAGCTGACTCAACACAGTCTGTCCTTCAAGGCCTCTTCCCATATCGACTTTGATTTCCTTTCAAAAAATTTCTTCAGTGACTAATACACTATCCTCCCTCCCCCAAAAAGGGGAAAATACACACATCAATGAAACAGTTTACATACCAACACTTCCAGGGATGTAAGCTGCATCACCTTCTTCTCAGTGTTCATACGCTTGTGTTCAGGGACTCTGTAGTTAGTGGCAGTCTTCAGTTTATAACACCCCATATTTTCCTGTGCTTCTCTGATGGCCTCAACATCCTTGGGATTCTCATAGTCATCGCTAGGTTTGCTCTTGTATCTGGTAGGTACAAAACAAAGCTGAACTTTAAGACAGAAAGCATACAGATGAACAAAGAGGGTCATTTCATACCTTCTGATTTCTGCAGCAAGGCTTGGGAGGTGAGCTAGGGATCAAGAATCACACACCTCTTTCAGAAAACAATGGTTACTTTGAGAAGAATATCCTTGCAACATTTGAACAAAAACCTCAGATTACTTTTGTTCCCCAAAACTCTTATAACATAGCTCTGCCATGGGACAGGTTAAACCTCTACACTTGGAACGAGTTCTGGGTTTAGCAAGTACATGCTTCTCAGTCTCAGGGAGCCATGTGTCAACACTCCACCAGCCTGCAGCACAGAACACCTGATACTACTCTACACTGTTAAACACTTAATAACCTTAAAAAGCCTTGTACTCTGACTCTATATTGGTCCCATTCCCTGTCATTCATCTCCTAATGAAGAACTTCTGTACTTCCATGATCATTCAAAGATGTCACCCCCCTTTCTTGCCTCTCAAGATAAAGACCAGCATGGAGCATGAAGGCATATCACAAACGCTCACATAATGGCCATGATGTTAGCTCAACTGGCCTAACCCAGCTGTTACAGCATCTGCTCTATGTGGTGCTGGTAGGGTTAACTGAGAGTTGACTGTAATGGTCTAGGTGTCCCTCAGTCATGATCGATTTAGACACCTTTTTACTCCTTACTTGAAGATGCATCTACCTAACTGAATTCAAGTTTTTTAATATTTTAGAAGAACCACAGAAACTAACTGAAAGATTTTAATGCTCTCTTGAGACTCAGAGATACATGAAAACTCATCTATTTTAATTACAACCATTAGGAATATAAAAAACTAGGCAGAGACGTTATAGTGCCATATGACAGCTAAAAAGCATTACTTGACCTCAGACAAGAAGAAGAACTAAAAGGGCACAGAGTCCAATTCAAGACTCACAATTCATCCCACTCTGCCTTCCTCTTCATGATCTTAGCCTTCACCTTGTCAGATTTCTCAACAGTTCTTCTGATTTGCTCACGTTTGCTTTCTATGTAACGTGTGGCTGGCTTTCGGACCTCTGACATCTTCAGCTTTTCAGCCTCGCCCTTGAAAATTCTAGCATCTGGACCAAAAAATAATCATGTGAAGATGTAAATACCATGCAGCACAGTGCAGTCCCAACTACTGGAAACCCCCTGGGGATGGCTACTGTAGAGCTGGTGATCAGCACAGTTCCACTGCAGTGGATGTTCTGAACGGATTCAGGTTCTTTGACTTCACTCTTAGTCACATTCTACCCATGACGTTGACAGACAATTGCTGACATTGACCTAAACATGGAAAACTACGTATGTGTGTTACTATGTACATAGGTAATAAAAAAACCATACCACAGTTATATTTCTTTACCCGTACCTAAAGAAATTATAATTTCGTTAGCTTGGACTCAGGAAAACAAACTGAGATGAAAGACAGAAACCATATTACTAATAAGATTTAAATGCTCATTGTTAGCCCTATGCATACGCCTTGTCTCTCTGACGATCTCTGTTTCTTCTGCTTCTTTCCATGCCTGCTCAAGTACTGTGCTCTTCCATGACAGATGTTCCTTATCTTGGTAGTATTTCTTGGACATTGCTAGAAGTCTGTAGGTGGAAATCTGATGATTGCTTTGAATAGCATGAACAACAACAGTGTCAAATTCCAGTGAGTCCCGAAACCTGAAAAGCCAAATTAGACAAAATTGTCTGATGTCAGTAGGCACAACCTACCATTTTTCCTTGACCAACAGGACATGAATAATGATGTAATTTATTTATTGCATATACAATCATTACATGTAAATTCAGAAGTCAGTAAGAAATAGCATGATGATATCTGACGCTATCTATTGACTTTCATCAAATCTAGGAATGGAGATGCTCAAGAACAAACATACTAACACCTCTCCCAATATTGAAACTTACACCAGGTTCTTCATGAGAATATCTTTCATCTTCTATTAAGGACTGATTAAAAACATATTAATTCAAGTCTTTTTCCCAGTCACACACTCTGGGTGCCTAAGGTGTCTTTGTTATTGTGTATTATTTTGTCGTGGTTTAGCCCTAGCCAGCAACTAAGCACCACGCAGCTGCTCACTCACTCCCCCTACCCTGGTGGGATGGGGGAGAGAATTGGAGGAGTAAGAGTGAGAAACACTCCTGGGTTGAGATAAGAACAGTTTAATAATTGAAATAAAGTAAAATAGCAATGATAATAATAACAATATAATAATGATAATAACAATAATAATATATAAAGCAAGTGATGCACAATGCAATTGCTCACCACCCGCCAACCAATACCCAGACAGTTCCCGAGCAGCGATCGCTGCTCCCCAGCCAACCCCCCCCAGTTTATATACTGAGCATGACGTCATATGGTATGGAATAGCCCTTTGGTCAGTTTGGACCAACTATTCTGGCTGTGCCCCCTCACAGTTTCTTGTCCACCTGACAGAGCATGGGAAGCTGAAAAGTCCTTGAACAGTGTAAGCACTACTTAGCAACAACTAAAAACATCAGCGTGTTATCAACATTCTTCTCCTACTAAATCCAAAACACAGCACTATGCCTGCTACTAGGAAGAAAATTAACTCTATCCCAGCTGAAACCAGGACAATTTCTATTGTGTATTTATTTTTAGGAATACATCTTTTGCTATATACTTAGATTTAAGAAAACCAACCCAAAATGCACCTCACTCTTAAAACTTGTGTTCTTGAGAACATTCATTTCATAACTTTAAACTGTATAGGGAACATTGTGTTAGCAATGACATTACCATATCTGATAGACATGCAACATGCCTGAAAAATGGGGATTCATTTCATAGATTGTTCTTCAAAGTTCCAGTAAGTGTTCTTGGTTCTTACTGAACTTATGGGCAAAAACCCAGGCAAACCCAGTCTCAAAAAAAACCCCAGTTTTCTTCATGTAGAAGTGAATCAGAATAAAACTACTTTTTTGATCTGCATATCTGAATTTTTACCAAAGATTCAAAAGAAGCAAGTACACCCAAATATCAATATATACTCTTGTGTATGTTCCAAGTAAAGTAAGAACAGAGTCAGAACAGAAGAAATGTTGATTGGGGGGGGGGGG